GCCCAACTTATTGCCCAGCAAGCTGGCCAGTACAATGCAAACCTCCTGGCACAATACATGACCTGGGCTGCTCAACTCCAGTACACTGCGCAACTGGCGCAGTCGGCACAGCAGGCTCAGCAGGCTATAAGCAATGCAGGCAGAAGCCGTAGCTTCACACGTGTACGTCGAATTCCACCGCATGCTCATGACATGAGAACTTCTCGCCATGTGGACTCACTCGCTGTCGGTTGCTGTGTGCTCCATTCCAGAGTGCCAAACGAACCCCTCACATTTGCTCGGTTTGCCGTGGCCCTGCCATCAACCACAAGCGCAATTGGTGTCCTGTTAAGCAAAAACCTCGAGGGAAACTGGCAGCCGCGTCTGCTGTGTCTGCCTCTGCTGCCTCTGCTGCCTCTGCTCCCTCTGTTGCCTCTGCCGCATCTGCCGCCATTTCTCAACTTCATCAAAGCAATTCCAATTTGTAACGATCGAGGCAGAAATCTGCACGAACTATGATTCTTTTGTTTGTTTTATCCTGATTTTCTCCTGATTTTCTCCTGATTTTCATTGATTTAAGCTTCTTTTTTTTTTTCCCCCCCGGGGGTACCTGCCCCAGGCTCGCCGTCTGCTTGTCCCACTGCTCATGCTGTTCGCCACTCGCTCGCTCCCATCTCTTTCAATCCTTCTCCTTCGTTCAATATCTTCCGTTTACCTTTCCCATCCTTCTCCTCTCTCGCCCCATCTCGCACCTGTATTTTTTATTTTTATTTTATTGATCTTTTACCTTCCCGCTCGTCCCACCCGCCACCTGTTGCGCTTCCCCTCTCCAAATCTCTCTTCTCCTGAAAGTCGACTTTCCAAACCGATCATCTTTCCCTCTACTCTTGCTGCTCTTTCAATCACACATTTTGCCAAACGCCGCCTCCCTGTCCTGCTCCCTCAAATCCATCTGCTTTGCATATTCCTGATTTTCAACCTGATTGCCGCATTTTCATCTTCCCCTCCGCCGCTTTGTTGCTTAATTCCTACTTCACGCTCAATGATCCTGTACCGTCCTCACGCCACCTACTTCCCTTTCTATCGACTTGTATCCTTGCACGCGTTTCAAACTTTTGCTTCCTCGCCTTGATATTATAAATTGATGTCTTTCAACGATCCTTCTACTAACGCATTAGCGGTTAGCCTCCGATCGTGTCGCTGTTAGCGGTTGCGCCAAACCCACACGACAATAAACATCCCGAATGATTCGATTGAGTACCGACAGTACAGCGCACCAAAAGCTCGCACGTTGACATGGCATGTCAAGTTGATGGCCGCCACGACAAAAAGAACCCAAAAATTGAACAAATGCGAGCGACGGGCCATTCGCGAAGACCGAGTGACAGCCGGGCCCCTGGTCACAATTTTCGGCACACGTCAAAACAAAGCATACGCCATCTGCTTCACGCGCTTTCGGTACTCATGATGGAGTTCTCGTCCACCTGGAACCATCCTGTGACACGCAAGCCCAACCATTAGTACCCCCTCAAAGCGGCTCAAACAAAGCAAATGGCGCGCCTCAATACCAAATGGCAGCCTGCCCCCTGGTCACAATTTACGGCGTACGTCGCAAAAAAGCTCACCTCGCATT